TTTCAAATAATGCGCATTCTTATTTGGAAAAGCAAAAGCAAAGATTGATCATTTACATGCTTAAGCTACAGAAGAGTTAGCAATTCTACCACTGAATAAGGAAAATGTAATCACAAGCTATACAACTTCCAACATTCTCTGCCTCAAAGACTGAAATTACATATAGAGCAACTTGTGTGTATTAGACTAACCATGTAATTCAAGAAATTGTATGTTTCAAAAGGAATAAAAGTAACAAGCAATATCCTAAAATCAAAGATGTTAAATAACTTGATAAAATTCTTAAAACTAATATTTACGATATACACTAAGAGCATTATAGTATTAACTTTTACTGCAAAATGAGAATGAAAATGAAAGAGCTCCAGAGCTTTGATCTCTTCGATTAGCAGCATGCAGAGCTTCTCACAAATAAAATACAACACTAAAACACCACCTAGATCGAATTGTGAAGTTCACATCAAAGTAACCGGATTTGGGCGGATAGCTGCAAATGGTGCCTGTTTAGCTCAAGATAATTTGATGAGAGAATTTTTTTTCTCAATTTGTATGAGATGCTACCAATGTTAAGAACAAGGTGTAAAAGTCACATGAATCTTGTAGGATTGATTCATTGCATCAGATCAAGTTAATGTAGGACAATCGGTGAAAGAAGTAAGATGGACTGGAAAAGTAACTGGCTAGACATCAAATTGCTTAGGACATGACCTTGGCAGCAGATGTTGGAGCTACATAAACAGAAAGGTAGAGTTTAATTAAAACAAAAAATAAAAATAAGTCAACACCAGGCTGCATACTATGCTACATGATCTGCAATAAGTAAAACTAAAGGGTGAGACCTAGAGTGGAGGCCAAGGATGTTGCATCAACTTCAGGGGTAAACCAAATAGGAGCTGGTAGAATCTTCTGTATCTTGTCGACATCAACGGGGTAGTAACAGCTTAAAAAGTTTTTTTCTTTATAGTCATAAATCCCCAAATCATGACCTCCATAATTATGCTTCTTCCTATACTTGTACATCCTAGTCAGATCATCTGTAAAGTAAATAGAATTGGGCCTCAATTCCGGGAACGTGGTGGTCGAGAGAGCAAAGCCAGGATTGGAGCCAATGAAGAATGCACGATCTCCAAGGCTATCGTGCAAGTATTCAAGGTCCACATGATCATCGTCTATAAAATCAAGCTTGAAAACATCAAAAGTTCGGGTCTTGTAGGGGTATCGGTCTTCAGCATTGTCCTCGCGCGGTACCACAGTCCCATCTTGGGTAATGCTATGTGCTACGTAGCGTGTGAAAATAAAAAGCTCCTCGCTTTGGTGGTCATATACCAGGTAATCGATATCGTAACAGTAAAATGACTTGTACTCTTGATCAGCTTCATCCACGTAAGAACAAGGCCAAGATTCAGTGCCAAAATCTTCATTCTGAATGAGAAACCTCTTAATTGGATGATTATGAAAGCTTCAAGCTCCTTACGACCGGTGAAGGCGAAAAACTGTTTCTTTCCACTGTGGAACACAATTTGAGTGTAGTCGTCTAAGGGCCCGTCGAGGGCAGTCCAGGAATTGGCTTCAGCTATGCCAGGCCTCCTGCAGAAAGCGAGTCACAGGCGAGACCCGTAAATGACCAAAGCTATGCAATCCTCCTCCATAGGATCAGGCGATGAAAGTATCATCTTTACGACAATGTATGCAGACAAACTTTTTGGGCTTCGGAGCATAGAGCGGTGATCTAGAAAGTTTTCGATCAAACCAGAGTGGCTGTTACGGATGACGCCGTTAACACAGGGAAAGGTTTCAACGGATGGAAGCTGGATAATCTTCCCAGAAAGTGGGTGTCACGACCCCAAACCCCGGTCGTGATGGCGCCCAACACATTGCTAGGCAAGCCCGACCATTTACACAACCTTAGCCAAATAACCTAAATAAATAAATAAGTGTTCACTACTATAATACCAATTTAGTACGGAAATTCTGATATAATCTCTAACATTCGAAAAACCCCAAAATAGAATACTAAATAGCCCACCGAATCTGGTGTCACGAACATGAGCCTCTAAAACAGATCATCCACGTATTACAAATCCGACTAGGAAAATTACGAATAAAATAATAAAGATAGATGGGAGAGATCAGAGCTGCGAACGCCATGCAGCTACCTTGATACTCCCGGATAATGCTGCTCAGCTAACACGAGTCCTCACTCACCCTGTGGTGTACCTGAATCTGCACACAAGGTGCAGGGAATATTGTGAGTACTTCCAACTCAGAAAGTAATAAATATAAATAAGGTCTGAGGATAAGAAATTCTAAATAAACACAAAGTAAAGCTAAAAATACCATTAAACAAAAATACAGTTAGAATAAACATCACACAGATGAAGAAATAAATAACAATTAAATATGCAAATGCAACACATAAACCGGTACCTCCAGTACCCCGCTGCGGCCGTGCAGCCCGCTCCATTTATTTAACGTCGACGGCGCTCACTGGGGGTGTGCAGACTCCGGGAGGGGCCCCTTACGGCCGAAGCACAATAATAAGCCATCTCGTGGCATCAAACAGGCCCTTAGCCTCATATCAATATCATTATAATACTGCTGCGGCGTGCAGCCCGATCCCATCCTCAGTCCACAAATCACACAATAGTATAAAAATATTCAATCCAAACTTCATTTAAAAATATTAATTAAGTTCCTACTTTTAGAAAAAATGGCTGAGTTTACAAAAACAGTGTTAAATACCAGGACTGAGTCCAATATCTAGAAATATGGTAAGAAACCAGTAAAAATAATCTCTGAAGGATTCAAGTAGTTGGCACGAAGCCCAAATATAACAATTAATCCATTTTTTTATAAGGATATCACAAAACTACAATCAATTAGGTAGTAATTTTATTAAGCGGGATGGACCGAGTCACAATCCCCGACGGTGCTCTACCCCACGCCCGTTATCCGGCGTGCAAGTCACCTCACATAGCATTACATTGTGCAAATTCGGGGTTTCAAACCCTCAACACAGCATTTACATTTATTACTAACCTCAAGCCGGCCAAGGTCCTAGCTTGCTATGCCCTTGCCTTTCGAATTCACCTCTTCGTGCGTCGAATCTGACCAAAACCACAACGAATATGTCACAATATGCTAAGGGAATATAACCCAATCGAAAAGACTCGAAAAACATCGAAAATCACGAAGTTGGCAAAACCCGAGCCCCGGGCCCACGTCTCGGAAAATTATAAAATTTACATCACCGGATTCCTTATCTCGCCGCGAGTCCATGCATATAAAGAATACCAAAATCGGAGTCCAAATGACCCCTCAAATTCCCATTTTTGTTCTCTTAGGTTTCAAGCCCTAAACCACCATTTTTGACCCTAATTCCTTGAGTTTTCAGTCTAATTTCGTGTGTTTGCACCATAAAATCGTGTTTTTGGTTTAGAAATTCTTACCTCAATGAAGTCCCTTGATTCCTCTCCTCCAACTCGCCCAAATACTTCAAGTCCGAAGTGAAAATATGAAACCCTTTCAAAAATTCGCGAAGGGAAATAAAAACTATTCTGACCAGTTATTTCCGCATATGCGGCTCCATGGCCGCATCTGCGGCTCCCGCTTTTGAGGTCAATGCACCGCCTCTGCGGACGTATCCGCTTCTGCGATTTAACATCCGCTCCTGCGTCTCCCGCTTCTGCGGACAGATTAACGCATCTGCGGATCCCCATAAGAGCTCAAATACCGCATCTGCGGTCCTCCTGTCGCATCTGCGACTCCGCAGTTGCGGTCACCAATTCCGCACCTGCGGTCCCTGCCGCTTCTGCGTCTCTCCTCTCGCTTCTGCGTCTCTCCTCTCGCTTCTGCGGTCCCAATTCCGCAGAAGCGAAAATACCAGAAGCAGCACAGGTTCTGCAAATCTCTTAAGTTCAAAACTTCCCGTTAGCCATCCGAAATCACCCCGAGGCCCTCGGGACCTCAACCAAAAATACAAGCATGATCCAATACCTTATTCAAACTTGCTCCAATCATTAAAACACCTCAAACAACACTAAAACCATCATTTCTCATCGAATTCAAGCCTAAGTTCTTCTAAGACTTCCGAAACACGCATTCGATCAGAAACCCAACCAAAACACCTCCGAATGACCTGAAATTTTGCACACACATCCAAAATCACCTAACGAAGCTACTGCAACTCTCGAAATCTCATTCTGACCCCTGGATCAAAATCTCACCTACCAACCGGAATTCGCCAAAATACTAACTTCGCCAATTCAAGCCTAATTCTACACCGAACCTCCAAAATCAATTCCGATCGCACTCCTAAGTCACAAATCATCCCCTGAAGCTAACCAAATCACCGGAATTCACATCCGAGCCCTCTAACACAAAAGTCAACATCCGGTTGACTTTTCCAACTTAAGCCTTCTTAAAAGAGACTAAGTGTCTCATTTCTTATCAAGACCATTCCAAACCAACTCTAACACATCAAATACTGATAATGAAACATGAAGAAGCATAACATGGGGAAAACGGGGCGGTAACTCACGTGACGACGGGTCGGGTCGTCACAAGCTCTTTACCAATCTCTAGAGGGCTCTTCAGTGAAGGGCCCTGTAGCAAAAAACAAGAAAAAGGAGTGAATAAGATATATTTATGGAGTTGTTTGCATAATCTATGCACTGACGACAGATTGAATTTGAAACTGGGAATATATAAGACCTTCTGCAAGACTACATTAGGAAACAGAGTAACAGAACCATAATGAGTGACCTTAACTCTATAAGAGTTAGGTAGATTAACTATGACAGGCCTGCTTAAGGCTTTGAAATTTGAAAGAAAAGCTTTGTTAAAGGTCATAAGCTCACTTGCTCCACTGTCTATTATCCATGAATGACTATCTACTTGTATGTAACAGGCATAAGAGTTGAAGAACTTAGATATACCAGAACAATTGAAGTTTGCAAAAGCATCAGAGGTGCCTGCATTTTGCTGATTCTGGTTCATGTTCACCCGTTGGAGCAACTGAAGCAGAGCAACTGAAGCAATTGTGTCACATTCTCTTGAGTGAGAGTCTTCACATCAGGTGCACAGTTAATTCCTTGTTCCACTGCTTCAGTTAGATTAAAAGCATTGTTAGCTTGTGATATGGGCTGGAATTTCTTCTGTTTTGTGAATTTGAAATCCTCCGGGGAACCATGTATCCTATAACATTTATCAATGTTATGACCAGGCTTCTTGCAGTATGCACATATGCTAGTGTTCTTCTTTGTTTCAAAAACTTGTTTCTGTCCCTTATAGTCATTAGCCTTCTTTCCTCTTCCGGCATAGTTAGCTGCCACAAAAGATCCTGATTCGCCTGGATAAACAGGTGTAACATGTATTTCCCTTTGCTTTTCATCTTGTATGACTAGTGAGTAAGCCTGTCCAATAGAGGGTAGAGGAGAAGACAACAGAATGTTGCTTCTAACTCCTATGAAGCACTCATTTAAACCCATGGAATTGCAATAATCTTTCATCTTGATGTGCTTTCAAGCTCTTAGCCTTAGCTCCACAATCACACTCACAAACACAAGCAGAAAAGATGTTCAAAGCATCTAACTCATTCCATAAACTCTTCATCTTAGTGAAATAGGTTGAAACACTAGTGTTACCTTGAATTACTGCACTCAACTCCTTCTGTAGCTGGAAGAGCTTTGCACCATTTGTCTGTCCAAACCTGTCCTCTAGATCTCCCCATAGATCTTTAGCACTTTGTGAGTATAACACACTTTCTGCAATTTCTTTTGACAGGGAGTTGAGTAACCAGGACAATACCATGTCATTGCAGCGAGCCCAAGCCTTTTGGAGACCAGAATCAGAACTTGGGACAACTAGGGATCTATCAATGAACCCCAGCTTGTTTTTGGCAGAAAGAGCAATGACGGCTGCTCTTCTCCACCCTCCATAGCTCTTGCCATCGAAAACTGAAGAAACAAGGTTCATCCCTGGGTAATCCGAGGGATGAAGATAATAGGGGTGAGATGACTCAATTGCTCCAGCTCCATTGAAGACTGGAGTTACAACTGGAGTGGTTGTGGAAGAATCTGCATCTACATATTCAGTGGGTAGACCAGTGGATGCCATAGCTGGCTAGTTGAAGAAGATGAAAGATGATGAAAAGAGACTGATTTGGAATTGTGCTGGAGCAAATCAAACCTGCTCTGATACCATGTCAAAAATAGAAAAGGAACGTAAGAAAATTTTCTTTGTATTGATGATAAAATTATTCTGTACAGTGCTTTGTATAAATACAGTAAAAAAAGAATCTTTCAAATAACTGCCTAGTACAGGTGTCCTATTCTAATTGTATATGCTATAACAAACTAATGGATAATGATATATATGGAAAATATTTACAGGTGTTATTTTGGCATGTTCTGTTTCTAGAAGAATTTGTGTAGCTAGCTGGACTATTGTATAAATTAAAACTGGACCTTTGCTTCAGCTACCCGGGTCCAACATCTTTATTAAAACAAAAAAGGAGACCCTTCAGACCAAACACTTAGCTTCCACTGCCTCTGTCTTCTTCCTTGGTGTTTCTAAATAAGAGAGGTCTGTTCTTCTTTGTGTTCTTCTCTACTAGCATAGTTCTGGGTTGTGCAGTGATGTGCACCAACAGATTGAGCAAGGTTACTGAGTTGATCATCAGACAAATGACAACAGCGAAATTCTAGGAAGCGATGAATGGGATATTGGAAGGCGTTGATATTACTGTTCCTGATGATTGGTTGCATGATCTGTGAGATCATTTGGTGGCACGAGTTCTAGTAGATAGGCGGCATGAAAAAAGTTAGCATTTGATGTTAGTTAACCCTTCTTTAATTTTCCCAACTGAAGAGAAAATCATATTGAAATCATCTGATAATATTTGCTGTTTATTTTTTTCAATTCCTAATAGCGAGTTTTGAAACGTACTATGTACATTGTTAGTGCATTATTTCTTATGGGAAAAGCAAAAAGTTACAAAAAAAAAAAAAACCTTGTGATTGTGTCTTCTTTTTGTCATAGATATATTCTTATATACTGAAAGACTGCAGTCGTCAATACTAACTATATTTGGAAGGAAGTGGATGTTTAGGTTTCGCCCAAAAGAAATGGTTTTCTCTTTATAAATAAAGGTTAAAGCATAGAAAGAGACAGTTAACATATGCATCAATTCTATTGCACGACTTATACAACAGAAGAAAAAGTTCATCTTTTTCCTTCTCATTGTTCCGTTTTCCTCCCAAGAAAATGAAATGAAATAAACAAAACACAGAATCCCTTTGAAGTCAGACACTACTAGTCAATACATAATAACTCAGAAGAATCAAGAAACATATGTAGAATTCATCTAATTTACCATGCCTTGTATATAGCCATATTTGCCCCATATAGTTACTAGTTTCTGGGCACGCGCGTTGCGCGTGGAGCCAATGTCCATGAGTACAAAAATTATAAAATCACGTGAATAATATTTTATTTAGAAGTTAAGGTAGAGTGGCTTATTGTGCTGACTACATTGTTGACAACAGTATCTCAGGCATTACATATATAAAGTAGAATGGAACATCAACTTCATTTTGTGTATTATTGGTACTGCGAAAGTGCATATTAGTTTAAATATAATCTTTAATGGCAATTAAGCTTATTACATTAGACGATTTATCTAAAGTTATAACTATAGCTTTGCACTATTTCATGTTAATATGCTACTAGTGCGCTTCACTCCCATAGAAACAACTACAATTTACTTTCCTGATCGGAGATTTGTTGCAGATGCACCATTGTTGAAGCACATGGGCCAAAAATATCTAAGTTGAAGTACCACTAAGATCTAATCGTCAACTTTGTTTGTACATGAGTACAAGGTTATGCTCTGCTTTCGACCAAATTATTGCATAGCAAATGGAAAACACGACATTTATTTGACACGTGTGTCCCACGTGTACAAGTACAAATCTTTTAAAAGGATAGTGATAATATTAAAACGTGTATGTAATGAGTATAAAGTGTAAGAGTAAAATTACAAGCTCAACTGAAGAATGATTTTTCTATTTTATGAGTTAATTATTGGACTTCAATGTTTATATGTCGTCTGAACCTGAAAAGTAAAGCAGTCAATTTAGTTAGTTATGCAGTATAGATAATAATCTAATTAATTATTTTATTTTTTGCAAATATGTTATATGCATGTATCGTACCTAACACTTCCTTGTAGACGATGTTTTTGGTATATGTTCCATTTTTACATGTCGGTTGCTCTGTCATGACAGGAACTTTTGTTGTGGATATTGATATCCCTCTTGAAAGTGCAACATACAGTTGTCCATGCGAAAGACATGTTGTGGCAAATACAAGCCAACATTGGGAATGGTTTGGCCTTGTGCTTTATTTATTGTCATGGCAAAGCAAAGACGTACTGGAAATTGCTTCCGAATGAACTTGAAAGGATATCCTTCATTTTCAGGGGTGAAAGCTGAATGTGTGGTATAAACACATGCTTTGTTGCACAATGACCAATCATAATTTCTGCATGTAAAATGTTGTTGTTAAAGCCTCTGCATATCATTCTTGTTCCGTTACATAAGCCATTTGAAGGGTCTAGATTCCTGAGTAGCGTTATAGGTGCGTTCTCCTTCAATACTAACCTGCATAAGAAATTAAAAGTTAAAATGAAAATTATTTTTTATTGCATGTTCCAGGTGTGTATGCTTGAGGTAAAACAAAGAGAAATAGTGGAGGAACAAAATATATTTATAAATCATGATGTATATGGTAAAATACCTATGCGGGGAAGCCATTGGGTGTTAAAGTGTTTAGATATTCTTCCTGGTAATAATTATTGGTGTCATCTTCTGCAGAGTCAAAACTAATAAATGTTTTGCTTTCACCTGGGAACATATCTATCAACCTCTCATTTAGCTTATCAACATGCTCATTTCTGCTTGCTAATATAGCCCTCTCCGTTACATATTTTGCAGAGTTAGCATTCTCTTGTAGTGATGGGTATATTTCGTTTATTAAGCATTCTTCAGCAATACCATCGCTATTATACTTGACAGCCAAATGTTCTAGAAGAAGGATCAAATTATCTTTTATTGTAGGCTCTTCTCCGTTGCCAACACGAAGTAAGAACTCACTAAATGTTGGATCAGTTCTTGCTCTTATATTTCTGATAAATTTGATTTTTTCCATCAAAGGCCATAGATATGATTTTACCAAGCTTGCATTGACTATTTCTACTCTTGTAAATTTTGGAACAACTGCTAATACCTGACGAAAATCACCTCCAAAAACCATGACTTTTCCACCAAAAGGTTCATCGATGTCCATTATATCTCTAAAGCTCCTGTCGACTGTTTCTATTGTTTGTCGCTTGGCCATGGGCGCTTCATCCCATATCATTAATTTTGCTTTTCGAATCAATTTGGCTGCACCACTTTGTTTGGCATGTTTGTCATGGTCGTTTCATTTGTTTGGAGAGGAATGTCAAACCTAGAGTGAGCTGTACGACCTCCTGGTAAAATTGAAGTTGTTACGCCACTGGTTGCTATTGCTAAGGCTATCATACCTCTTAATCTAACATTTGTCAGTAATGCTCTATATAAGTATGTTTTTCCAGTTTCCCTGGGTCCATCAACAAAGAATAAACTATCTCTTGCACAATCGACTGAATGCAAAATGGTCTTGAAAGCTTGCTCTTGTTCAGGATTTAATTTTGATTGTGCCTCTAAATCTTCTGTGGGTATTTGCACAGACATTTCTTCAACAATTTCTCTGCATTCACAACTTCGGGCAATTGGTGATCACTACAAGGCAGATCATATTTGTTGATGCTCTTGCCCATACTCTCCAAATAATAATTAATACTCTTAAGAGTACATTGCAACTGAGTTGTGGGTGAGTTTTCATGTATCCTGCCAAAGTCTTCAGACATATCCTCGAAATACGTATCCCAAAGTTTTCTAATGTCTGTGGGGTTACAGTGTACCAAAATTGTTGCGAACAATCTTCGTAGAGCTGATGGCATTTTGAAAAGGGCAGCTTTACGCAAACATTCTGATATGCTGTCATCTGATTCTAATAACCCTCTTTCTTTGGCTGCTTCTTTAAAGGTGTCACACTGTCTTCCATTGACATTGAGTAAGTCCTTGAATGAAAATGGTCCTCTAACATGGTTTAGTAATAACCGCTCATAATACCTTTTTCCCTCCCTAGGATTAGCTGCAATATTTAGTATATGTTAATAAAATTGATAAATGAAGGAGTTGTGTATATATTTAAAAATTAGTGTTGTATGCCTTACCATTTGCAATTCGACCAATTACAGATCTTGTTTTTCTTTTTGTCCAAAGCTTTCCCTGAGGATTCCAAACATAATGTTGAGGGAATTCTCTATAAAGGTATGTTCGTGCTTCGGTGTCAATGGAGCACGTCTTGAAATACTCGGTAAGCATGGTTTGCTTGTTGTTGTCCCACGCGATGATACTTTGCAAATTATGGTTCTTCCAATAAAATACTAAGGGTTGATATAAAGTTAGAATTTTCATATTTAAAATTTTGCATCAAAATATGCAGCAATTTTAAGTGTGTAACTTTAAAATTTGTGTACCTGAATGTTTGTCAGGGAGATATAGTTGAAGGTTAATAACTAGAGGTTGCATTTCACTTATATTGAATTCATAAATTCTCCATAGTGCTTCTGGTGGTGAAACCCACCTCGCATCTTGAAAATTTTGGATCTCATCAATGATTTTTTCTCCATCACCAGACTCAATATAAACGGCACACCTATCATGGCCTTTATATATATACTTGTAAAGGTATTTTATTGCCTTTACGCCCGAGCAGACCTCGACATTAATGTGACAATTGTATCTCATAAGCAGATAAGCATTATACGGCACAACCCATTGGTTATTCATTTTCATTCCACGAACGGTCTCAAACCTTCCATCATTTCTTCTTCTGTAAATAGGATAGCCATCCTTTGCTTGCATTGATTTGCTGATGAAAGAGCGAGGATAATGATACTTGCATTGGCCATCTTGCATGCATGAATTCGTTGGATGATGCTGTCGACATGGACCATGCATCATATGCTTGACTACTAATTCATGCAAGAGCGGATATTTAGATTTGTCTGGAATTTGTGCAGATATAAACTTATCGTACTGATCTGCTGTTTTTATCTTGTGGCCTTCTTTCAATATGAGCAAAAGGTGTATATGAGGTAGACCTCTTTTTTGGAATTCCACCACGAAGACATGAGCTGCAACAATTCCAAATATTTTTTTTTTGAAAATTTGGTCTTTTAGGTCCTGCAGTTTTGCTCTAAATACCCTAGTCACCAAGTCTGGCCTATCTTGAGGAGTTTGGCCTTTGCCCAATTCTTGTTGGATCTCCACCCAATCAGGATTATAAGTCATTGTTATGAATAGATCAGGTCTTCCAAAATGCTGAACCAAAGCCTTGCGTCCATATACCGCCTCCGCATATCTCTTGGACCTCCAATAAAAGAAGCTGGAAGTAGTACTCTTTGGCCAATCTTTTCTCCTCTAGATTCTCCGGCCATAATACTATCAACTATACCCTGATAAACCTCTCTTCTAAAATTGGATTGTTCTTTTCTGAAATATTCAAGCCTCGTTGTTTCTAATTTTATGTACATGTCAACCACAAATTGCTGCAATAATCTTCCACAATATAGTAATATGGACCTTTCTGATTCCCGTACTTGTAACTTATAGCAGTAATATTCTCTGCAAGAAACGACGCCTCTTGTTTCGCGGTGCACATCTAGAAGTTATAATAAGTATGTTATATATAAGCATATATAATTATAGTATATTTGTATTGAGATGTGTTACCTTCGTCTTCGTTAGCAAATATTGAATTTGCTGATATAAATGTTGGAATATTACTGCTCAGAGTGGTGGCAGAGATTGTTGTGTGATGTTGTGGTTTTGTTTGTTTCCTTATTCCTTGATGCCATCCACCTTCGCCTCTTGGAAACAACGACGGATATTGCAGTGGATCATAACATAATAGTGCTTGACACGATGTTTGTTCCCAGAATGTTCATGAACAATGATCTCCCGGTTGAAGGGTATATTTGGATTGTTACCATCTATCCAAATTGCTGCAACTTGATCTACCGAGGGTGTGCTATACACTCGTTGATCTAGAGAGGCATTTGCAGCAATTCGAAGCTGCAAATTATGAAATGTGGTATAATCTTTTAGCTGGCGAAAGAATTGTGCATATGGATTTCCATCCATTGTCTGCCTTATTTTTCTCACGAGTCTGTCCGACAAGCTACCTTCTTTGATTTTGATATTCTATTGCCCAAATCATTATCTGTATCAAAGAAGCATAGTTGAAAGTAACAAGGATTATTATCATGCGGTACCAATGATGGTAGATCGTGATATACTTGACCCTGTGCCTTAAAAGTGTACACTCCTTTCCTTGAAGATGTCAATTCCTTATCAAGCGTAACACCGAAAGATGTAAAAGCAAAAATACTATTAAATGCTCGAATATTATTGCGAAATTCTGTAGCTTCTTCTGTGTCAGTCATGAACAATTCATGTAGTTCCGCGGGAGCTTCAGTGCTAGCCAATTTGATATATCCGTTTCCACAACAAAATGCCGGAGGTTCATATTGAAATCGTTTAGCGTCACAGTATATGCATGCCGGGACCAACTTCAACTTATGAATTTGTGATAATGATAAGTTGTAAGCAATATCTCCTAAATAGATATATAGGAAGATACTTCAAATGACTATTTTTAAAATGAAAATAAATATAAAAGATAACAATTATATGTATAAGTTGTGTATTTTATTTACCTCCAGGTTGGGATTCTTCGGATAAAGCTCTAAATAGCCAATTTACTTTAGGCTGCTTCTTCGGTTGTTCAATTTCTAGATCTGTGAATTGTTGGGTTGTTGCTACATATTTGTCACCCCTCCGCAACGTGTTCGAAGTTGCTTTTCTTGTTTGTCTTGGTTTCCAGCAGTCAAATTTAATATTGATGATGATGCATTTCTACTCATCTTCTGAAGAGCGTATGCAGTTTTTCCTCTATCTATGGAGAGAAAGTTAAGTAATTAATTTGGAAATAATTGGCGATTTTTAAGTAGTGATTATTTCTGTGTCTACCTTCTTTTGCCATTTTGTGGCCTGAGTAATATCTAGTTTGACATGGTGGAACCATTAATAACAATTGTATATATGTCGAGACAATATGAAAAAAATATATATACTCAAGTTAAATAGAGTTTACCTGTTCAAATTTTAGTATTTTGCACAGCCTATTCTCTTAATAGAAACTAATGTACCAATCTCCAATTTTCAACTTGCATAGCATAGTTTAGATTCTATTTTATTTTGGATTCTATTTGATAATTGTTATAGCAGCAAAAGAAAAATATCTTTCTGTTGGAACCAATCTACCGTATGTAGCAGCAAAATGTTCTTCTCCTTATGTATCTTTGATGGTTATAGGATTGTCACGTCCCAATTCCCAAACCCGGTCGTGATGGCGCCTCTCGTGAAGACAAGGTCAGCCAGACCAATACGGAACACCTCTTTTAAGCAGTAAGTCACCATTAAGCAATTATGAAGCATGATTTAATAACAATAATTACCGAAAACATAATAATAATAGTAGAACCATCCCGACACAGCCCGAACCGGGGTGTCACAAGTAACGAGCATCTATTAGAGTGAAGTTACAACTACAAGCCGAAAATATACAAAATAGGATTTATAAATAAAAGGAAGAAATGCGGTGCCGCGAACGCTGGCGGTCACCTCGCTCAACTTCGATAGCATAATCTCTAATCAGCTCAAAACCCGCTACCGGATGAACAAATACCTGCATCTGCACGCGAGGTGCAGGGAGTAAAGTGAGTACTCCAACTCAGTGAGTAATAAAGATAAATAACAACTGAGCAGTAAGAAATCACGTAAAACAACCACATGCTGTATAGAAGCAGGGTACAATCCTTTGAGAAAACAGTGAAACTGTGAAATCTTTGGAAATCTCTTGGCTCAGTTTAAATCTCTTTTGAAAATGATCTTTCCAACAGTTACGAAATGATTTCAAAACCGTTAGTGCCGATAAGCACAGAAAATTCGCCCCTCGGGCACAAATACCACAGTATAAAAAGGTAAAAAAAAAGGCAAGTAAATATGCAAGATGAGCACATAGAAATTCGCCCCTGGGGCAATATCTCGAAACAATACCAGCCCCTCGGGCTCACTCTCAGAAACACTCTCAGCCCCTCGGGCTCTCTCTCTCAGATCACTCTCAGAACAGAATCACATAGTAACCGCTGCGGCGTGCAGCCCGATCCATATATAGTCGACGGCGCTCACTGGGGGTGTGCAGACTCCGGGAGGGGCCCCTTACGGCCCAAGCGCAATATCAAGCCACCTCGTGGCATATAATATAAGGCCTGAAAGCCTTCTCACATCACACTTGAGGCCTGAAAGCCTCCTCACATCACACTCGAGGCCTGAAAGCCTCCTCACATATCACCGAGGCCTGAAAGCCTCCTCACATATCACTCGAGGCCTGAAAGCCTCCTCACATAACACTCGAGGCCTGAAAGCCTCCTCACATACACTCGAGGCCTGAAAGCCTCCTCACATATCACTCGAGGTATGAAAGCCTCCTCACATATCACTCGAGGCCTGAAAGCCTCCTCACATATGGCCCTCAGCCTCACTCAGTCCAGAAACCATCATAAGCCCCTCAGGCATCAATAAAATAGTAGTGCTCAGCCCAAACAACAGTGGAAATATCATTTAAGTCTCAAAGTTCAATTAAAGCGGCTGAGTTTGTAAAACAGTATAATCAACAGGACTGAGTTCAAGTAGTATATCAAAATAGCGAGGAAACAGTGATAAAAATCCCCGAAGGGTTCAGATAATTGGCACGAAGCCCAAATATGGCAATCAGCCCAAATCATGATAATAACAAATAAGTTTCAGTCAAAATATGCGGTAAAGGACGGACCAAGTCACAATCCCCAACGGTGCTCTACCCCACGCCCGCTATCCGGCGTGCAAGTCACCTCAATATAGCACTACGGTGTGCAATCCGGGGTTTCAAACCCTCAGGATATTATTTACAATCATTACTCACCTCGAACCGGCGAAATCTCTAGCTCGCGACGCCTTTGACCCTTAAATCGGCCTCCACGCGCGTCGAATCTATCCAAAACCAGAACGAATACGTCACAATATGCCAATGGAACAATACCCAATCGAAAACAATCGAAAAAAATTAAAAATCTCGAAATTGGCAAAAACCGAGCCCCGGGCCCACTTCTCGAAACTCAGAAATTCTTACACCAACGGATTCCTTATCTCTCCACGAGTCTATACATATAAGGAATACCAAAATCGGAGTCCAAATGACCCCACAAATCCCAATTTTTGTTCTCTTAAGTTTCAAGCCCTAAACCACCATTTTTGCCCATTAATTACTTGAGTTTTCAGCTCTAATCCATGTATTTACACCATAAAATCGTGTTTTAAATCCAAGAATCCATACCTTATCGAAACCCCTTGAAATCTCTCTTCAAAATCGCCCACAATCCTCCAAGTCCGAGGTTAGAAATGAGAAACCCTTAAAAATTCGCGAAGAAGACCAATTAAATATTCTGCCCAGACATTACCGCTTCTGTGGTCATCCTTTCGCTTCTGCGACTACCGCTTCTGCGGTTCCTCCTCCGCTTCTGCGGAAAATAACTTAACACCCCAGGCCGCATCTGCGGTCTAAAAGTCGCATCTGCGACTCCCCAGATGCGGTCCCCACTCCGCATCTGCGGTCCAGCCTAGCCTTGCCCTTTTCCGCTTCTGCGACTCCCACGCCGCATATGCGATACCGCTTTTGCGGAATTTCCCGAAGCAGCAGGCCTGCAATTTGCACAAGTCCAAAACTCATCCCGATAGCCATCCGAAATCACCCCGAGGCCCCAGGACCTCAACCGAAAATACCAATACATCCTAAAACGTTATTCAAACTTGTTCCAATTATCAAAACACCTCAAACAATACCAAAACCATCAAATTACGTCGAATTCAAGCCTAAGTTCTTCTAAAACTTCCGAAACACGCATTCGATCAAAAACCCAACCAAACGACGTCCGAATGACCTGAAACTTTACACACACATCCCAAATCACTTAACGAAGCTATAGCAACTCTCGAAATTCCATTCTGACCCTCGGATCAAAATCTCACCTATCAACCGGAATTCGCCAAAATACTAACTTCGCCAATTCAAGCCTAATTCTACACCGGACCTCCAAAATCACTTCCGATCACACTCCTAAGTCACAAATCATCTAACGAAGCTAACCAAATCATAAAAACTCCGGTCCGAGCTCATATACAGATAAGTCAAC